TTGATTTAGTGCGAGCTGTTTTTTTTTAGGACTTTTTCTTTTGTTGGGACTTTTGCATGGCTTTGTTGTGAATTCTGTGAAGAGGTTGCTGTTTCGTCCTCGATTCTGCAATGTTTCGGTCTCCCACGTGTGTGTGGCGAGCTGTACCGCCGGGAACGGTGCAAAAAAATAAATACATAAATAAATAAAGAAGCGTCGACAAAAAAATATGACGTCGACGAAATTTTGACGTCGACATCATCGACGCGCCGCTACAGGCCTAGTAATTACCCTCCTCCATCCCCAGCTCCTCCTCTCGCCCATTCAGGATTTGGCATTCTGATTCCCCTTGAATCAGAATAAATTCTCGAATTATGTTGTACTTTAAAATCTTGAATTAAAGATATCTGCAATACATTCATGTTGGTTCTGTTCTGTTTACCCTAAGAGGGGTTATTGCTCCTCTCCCTGCTCTTATCCATGCTACGCTGCATGGATGCGCAGGGAGTTCTTGCCCAGAACAGAACCATACCGCCAATCCAAACTGTATGCTAATTGTCAATCGTATGGTCCTGACAGAATTAATGCTACACTTGATTTTCAAGATTTCTCTCTGTTCCTTAGTAAACGTTGGTCTCAGCAGCTTTGTGAATAGGTTTTAAGAGGAAACTCTTACCTAAGAACTTTTACTGCTATTTAGGAGCACTCTTAGTGGTAAGATCAAATGTTTTGTACAGCGCCTGACATTTTGGGGCCAGTATATGTGTTAAACCAAATGTGTCCATGTAGAGAAAGCAAGCTTAATCTTGCATCATTCTACTTTATGAACACTTTAACACATTAAGGAGCAATAACTGTGCAGGACTATAGACATGACTGATATAAGTTCTTGTGAGGCTTCTCACTAGGCAATTTTTAAAGTTTTTTTTCATCATTGGTTGCCTCTGGCAGTTTTCTCCTGGTGGATCTAAATGAAGCCACCATAAAAGACTAAAAACAAAGCTATTATACAGGCTTTAGAGCCCCTACTCAAATATAAAAACACATTGTGCGGGCCTCACACATCCATCTGTCAGCTGGACACCAGCAGCAGTACAGATAAATGTGTCTGACGGACATCCGCCACAGATCCAGGTGAGCCCAGCTCATCTCCAAGGGGAACGGACATTAATTAGGCCCAGTGTTGAGCTATATGCAGATGGGACAGATGCCGAGCCATCAGTCAGTTTTACCTCCAGCGCAGCTGAAGTTTAATCTACGTGACTCTGAGTTAAGCAGACAGAGAAAAGGCTGAGGGTGAGGGTGGCTGCTTGAAGTGAAATGCGGTTCAGAAGAAAGGAATTATGGAATGAGTTCAAAGGCCATAGTTTTGCCAGAAGCCCTATCTAAAAAAAAAAAAAAAAAAAACTAGCAGGAGGATCCAAAATTTTGTGGAAAACTGTTTTGTACTATATTACATACACATTATCTTTCAGAAATAGGGTCAGGCATGATAAAAAATTATCAATAATAATAAATAAATACATATATAAATACATATATTTTATATTTTAAAAATGCTGTTCTTTTGAACTTTCTATTCATCACAGAAGCATGAAAAATATGTACCATGATTTCTACAAAAAAAGCAACACCATTGTTTTCAACATTCATAATAAAAATAAATGTTACTTGAGCTCCAAATCAGCATATTAGAATGATTTCTAAAGGATCATGTGACACTGAAGACTGGAGTAATGATGCTGAAAATGCTGTTTTGCCATCACATGAATAATATACATTTTCAAATACATTAAAATATAGAACAGATATTTTCTATTTGTAATCTTTTTTTTTTTTTTCTTACGCAATAAATCTTTTGATTAAGACACAACAAAACCTTTACCTCTGATTCTCACAGCTCTATAAACTTTAAAGGTTCTCTAAGCGATCCTGGGTGACGTCACTTCTTGTTGACGTTCGAACTATTGTCAAACAAAACGGAGGCTAGCTAGACCCTCCCTCCTCCTCATCCGCACACTAACCCCCCAAACCACACCCCCAAACCCTTCTTGTCGGTCATTGGCTGGAACAGTTTGTTATGTTTTGGGGAGCGGGTCGCTGCAGTTTGTTTTTGGTGCTGTTTGTGAAGCATGGGCTGTCTACAGAGATCGCGTTTCTTTACAGTGTGTTCAGGGGACAGGCAGCCAGCGGATAGTGAGGAGATGTTTGCTGTATGTGACAAAAAATGTTTTGGCCTAAAAAACACATGACATCGCTTAGAGCACCTTTAATCAAGCTTCATTCATGGTAAGTGTGTCTAGAGTCCTTTCATCTCCGGGCTTATTTAGTTCTGCTTCTAACAGCTATAAGAAAGAGAGTTTTTTAGTTATTTCTTATTGAAGAGGAGACTGGGGTTTAGAGGGGTTCATTTTGGAGTGGAAGCTCTGGTCCACTGATGAGAGGTTCAAATGAAGAAGCAAACTTTCACTAAAACCCAAACAATTATAGAGAGAGCAAAATGAAAAGCCTCTCCAAAAAAGAAGCAGTCAATCTTTCATCTCCTGATCTCAACCACCACTTTCCATTAGAGCAGTACATCAACAGTTGCGCACCACACAGAACACCACTGAGCCCAGTGTGAGATTTATGTGTTCTTGCAATACAGTAAGGTTCAAATCCACCTCATAATTATTGGGGCCGATAATTGCATTATGCAATTAAATGAAAAAATTAGGGCCGTCTCCAGCTACTTCTGGGAAAGCTGCTGTACGGAGGTAGAAATTTTGGTGACATTCATAGCATGTAGTATAAGTGCAAGTGTTTTTGTATGTCTTGGTTGTGCAAGAGCAATTTTTTATACGATGATCAAAATATCAGCAGACAAAAATGGTTTTCACCTTTCAAGAGTAGTCATAATATAATAGTTACCACGTGTGCTCAGGATGCAGATCTGAATAAACAAAAAAAACAACAACATATATATATACATATATAATATATATATAAAATAAAAACATATAATTGACCCTCTAGCACTCCTTTCCCTCTTCCACATACCCCGTTTAGAAAACCCCTGCTCTAGAGCAGAAGGAAAATGAAACGGAAAATGTTACGACAGCCCTGATCGGCTAATGGCACCACAAAAACTGTCCCAAACCACTAGCGACTATCCTGAGCTGTGACGTCAAAGACAGCAGACAGGGAACAAAATCTCTAACAATCCATTTTGAGCCATTAAGAGCCCTCCAAAAAGAAATGGTAACACATTGCCTCGGTCTAAAATAATAAAATATCAGCATATATGTAATTGTTGAATGGACGTTATTGGAGAAAGATGCTCTTTGCAGCCAGATGGTGTAATTGCAGCATCTACCGCCAGGGAGTAAACAGGTAATCAATATGTAATCAATGGTCCAGATCACTAGTAGTTCCTGCAGAGTGACTAGGCAACACTTGAGTCTAGTGATGCATTTTATGACTATATTCAGAGTAAAAAGCATGACTAATTACGTCTCAGACAAACAATAATGTTGTGATTAGTAATTAATTGGTAGTAGATAGTTATTAATTAGGCCAAATCAGTATTATTGATTAACTAATATTGAACTATCTCAGTCCTAAATTTGATATTACTTACTGATTAGTAAAGTCTTTTTTCCATATTAGTTATTCATAGTAGCAGAAGTGTTAGTGTAGTACCACTCACTTTTCCTGCATTAGTTTCTGAATAGTTACCTATTAATAAAAAACATTATTCTAAAGTGTTACTAACAGCCATGTTAACCAACAAAACATTGACCATGCTGGTCTATAGATGTTCTAGTTTTACCTAGGCTAACCATCTGTCATCCCTGTTTAAAATCTTTACATTTACGTCTTCAGATTAGTGATCCTCGTCATTTCTGTCCAGATACACAATATCACCATTCTGATGCTGAATAAATTCAACAAGACAATCTTAATGTTATGTTGTCTCAGTATCCTGCCAAATTATAAGAAATGTCTAAGTCATTATCACCAGCAAAAGTAAACACCAGCCCTGACATGAGACGATTACAAATAAACCCTTTTGTTAATATTTTTGCCATGAAACAAAGCAGCGAGAATACAAATGAACGGTTGTGGACATGCAGAAGCACGGAGCTGCATTACTAAAAAGGTGATGTAAAATATTTATCTGTCTCTGAGGTAGTAGTTGCTGAAGCCCAATCACTGAATTACTCAAGCACATGAGGATACAAAGAAAGACAAAGACTGAGCAAGAAGTCTGGACTGATAATGTCATGCGAAATAAACAAAACAAAACAAAAACCAAACAAACACAAAGCATTGATTATTATGAGCAAAACAATTAATCTCAACAGATTAAAGCAAACTGATGCTATGATGATGATGCAGCTGACTGGAGAAAGAAGAAGCATCTTTCATCTTTCTGTCCATGTACTGATGCCAAAATGTTAAGAGCTTGCTCAATCTTTTATGAGGCCAGCTTTGGATTTAGTGCCGCTTTGTTTCCACATTTTCCAGTTTGGCACGGGCCGCCTCAACCAATATACTCACACCACAAATTTAATTAGACACACTAAATGCGGTCATGCCGAACCCCAGCAACACTTTTGGCTGGTAGCAGCTTTTCAAAAAACTAAAATCAGATGTCAACATGTCTGAAACAATGCGTTCGTTTTAAGCAAGCAGGTGAAGAATAGTCCTGGTCAAAACACAATGACTTGCAGTTTCAAACATTAACTTTCCTGCCAGATGAGAAGGTGGCATGTAAAATTTGCACTCAGTAAATTAGTTGTTTTCCACTTTATTCATTATTGATTAATCACTGATTGACTGATGAGTCCCTCACAACGTTAGTAACAAATCACTGCACACTGCTCCCACCCAAAAGAGAAGCTATGCTGTAATTTAGACTGAAAAAAGGACTCAGCTCATGTCCGAGTCAAGGGACAAAGGATTGCGATAAAGTCAAAGTAGGCTCTCAAATAGTCTAAGATTTGCAAGTTCTCAAATTGTGACTCGGGATATTTTACCTTTAGTCCACTATACTCTGCAGCAGACCCTCGGTCCACTCCGGTGATATAGATGCCCAGAGCATACTCAGCACCCCCACGGATCATCAGACCCAAAGATCGCCCGTCATCCAGTGAGATGTTCACCTGGGGAGCACACACATTTCACTTGTTTATGGATACACGACTAGAAAGTCCTCACAATTGCAAAGCTCCTAAAGCAATCTAACCATATATGTCCAATTAATTCTCTACAGGAGCTGAGCACTATGGCTCCCACGGGATTTTGCGGAATTGACAGCGGAGAAAGGCTTGAGAGTGTCAAAAAGTTCAACTTTATACAAATGAGGTGATAAACAACAGTGATGTCTGTCATAAACATTTCAAAACTTGCAGATAATGCTAGAGTTTCTGTTGGATTCAATGCTTAAATCACAGCTACAAATTGTTATTTATAAATAAACAGATTTATTTCAGATTCCAAACTCCGATTTACACACTTTCATTGTATCTATAAAAGTGTATTATATTTATTCTGTATGTATAATTTTGGCATTTTGAAATATTTTTTTTCCATCTGTAATCTACTGTAATTGGACACAAATATGGGTACTTTTGGCTCTGTGACTCTTACTGATTTGTTCACTAACAATATCCAACAGTGAATATAGATGTGTAATTTATTTATTTATTTATTTGCTTATTTATTCTGAAGGTAATGAAAATAGCCACAGTTTCCCAATCCCAAATGAGGCATTGGGCTTAAAAGAATTATTTGGTCAAAATTTTATTTTCCCTATTTATGGAATAAAACAGCCAACTCATTTGTCTTGCTATGGGTTATTTTATAGTTGGCACCTTAATAAATAGATACAATTAAATAATATTTTCACACATTTGACATCATTTGACAAAGTTCTAGAAGTTTAATGTGACCTTCATAAAACAAAAACAAAAAGTTAAAAACTGGAACATGAAGTGCCTAAAAATTAAGAAACACCCATACAATGACTAGGCTATATTGCGCATTTATTGAAAGAAATGAAAGACCACACTGAAATTAGCCACACTGCTGTAAATTTTAGACATACCTCCAAGCAGCAGGTATCTAGCGCTTTAAACAGACACGTAGGACACAGTGGATTATGAGTTAGTGGGTGGGATATTTACCCCCGAGTTGAGAATGTGATTGCACACTTCATTTTGCTCGTCAGTTATGCCCCATTACTAAAGGTAAATGCTGAAGCAATGAAGAGGAGGTTACTATAAACTGACTCACCCACCCATCAGAATTCTAGTGATGTTCGAGCTGAATGAAATACCAATAAGATTCAAGTCTGGGATTCAGCACAACCAACCACTGCGGCATCCAAACCCCAATGAACAATTATCAACAAATCAAATAAAGCTTTGTTTATTACCTCTCTGTGGACTTGACTGCAGGTTTGATCTTTGTGGTGAATATGTTTTATTAGTTCTCATTTGTCTCGCATCGTTTAGCACTAAAACAATCAACGGATTACCAAAATCCAGATATAATTGTCCTCAGCTTTATTCAGACTAATTATGAGGGTAGATTCTTTGTGAATCTGTAGCAAAATGAAAGGTTTCAGATGAAGCAGCCAGTTTCTGACCTTTTCTGCCATTATACAGATGTGTCTTATGTAACCTAATGGACTGCTTCCTGGAAGGTTCTAGTTTGAATTCATAGCATCTCATGACATTAAAGGTCAGCAATGCAGACAATGCAGACAGTGCTACATTATTAAACATATATTACATATATGATAAACCGGAATAGATTAGTAAACAAACATCCTTGTTTATACATCATGCATTGCACGTAGTGTGATACATGGGTAATGGATTTGGCTAGTTCATCTGAACCCAGATGATAATTCAGATGGGTCATATCAATCACACTGACATAAAGATCATTTCAGGTGAGTCTGGCCTAAAATGTTCCTGAAATACTCTTATCAGCAGCCCCAAAGCCAAGTCAAAACAGCACAGACTCCCGCTAAAGAATCTCTGCAACTAACATGCTCCACTGCCTCCATCCAAAACATATAGATCACTGTCAGTGCTTGTAATTAGGGCTATCTCGAGCCATCCATAATCAAATCTCAAGAAACAAACAGTTTTTGTTGTTGAATTAACTATTGTCTGGAGTTTAGAGTGAAAATATTATTATGAGTTATTATGAGTGAAAATCTCTGCGTATAAGTTTATGGTTTTATAAGTTTGCAGATGGTTTTAAAGGCTGTTAAGGTACAAAATTAACTTTGCCACATCTGCCAGCTATTTTTATCTTGTTTCTTTACCGAAACTGCACAAAAGAATCTGGCACATTGTGATTTTTCTATGAATATAGAGTATTTCACATATATAATGCCACATGGTCAAAAAACATTTAGGATTATGGGGGAAAAAACTTTTAGATATGCAATAAAAACCTCTGGATGACCATTTTTCACTAGGATAAAAGTTGTTAGTCACTTGAGTCATGACAGACGTTGTATTTCGTACTGTAACTTGCATCTGGTGGCAAACGATTTTGGACCTTGTCGGCAGTGTTGTGATGGGTGACTGCTGTCCTTTGGGTGTTTTTAGCTGAAGAGGCAGAATTTGGGATGAAGGTGTGAAAGGGCTTAGTGAGCAAAGTTGATGAATGTGTGTGTGTGTGTGTGTGTGTGTGTGTGTTAATACACCTATAGAGAAAAAACCTGCAGAGCTGGTTTGCAGTTAGCAGAGGAATCCCTGATGCATTACACTCATTTCTACACTTGTTAGAGCTGTCATTTCTAATATGAATAACCTGAGTGAAATAAAACGTAGAGGGAAAAGCCGCAGATGTTTAACACTTACAACATCGCTCTGAATTTTAAATTGCCTTAAGTTCCAATTAATCTGTCATCATGAACTCTCTTTTACACTCACCTTCTTCTCGGCATCCTCGTGGCGTATGTGTGTGTGTCCAAGTTGCTGGATGTCCGAGTGTCTTCCTCCTGAGCCACGCTGGTCCACCAGGTCTGGGGGCGGGGACACACTGCGGCCCTGAGGGTCCACCCATGTATACACGTGATTGGTCACATAACCACCTGGGATCCGTCCCATAGAACAGACTGACATGGAGAGCTTCTTAGAACCTTTCAACACCTGTGAACAGAAAACCGATAGATGAGGACAATAAAGGAAGAGACAAAAAGGGGACTGAAGAGGATATGAATAAATAAATGATCTCTCTAAAAGTACACAGCAAAAACGTCAGTGTTATTTCAACTCCCATAGTGTTAAATTTAACACTTTCACAGAGTTTATATAATTCTCACCCGTCCAGAGTTAAATTAACACTTTGGATAGTGATAATATTTTAACTCCATAATAAGTGTTAAAAATGTAACACTCAAGAGTGTTATTTCTTAACACATTTATTAGTAATTTTTACACTACACTTGTGTTATTCCTTGGTGTTAATTCCTAACATTCAGTCACACTTTAATAGTATTTTTAACTCTTAATCGTGTTACTCCCTTACTCTTAAAAGTGTTAATTTAAATCATGCTGTGTTATTATAATAACACTAGTGTATTCAAGATAGTTGTTACATACAATGTTCTGAAAATGCCTTTTCACTATAGGAAAAAATAAACGTACAAATAATTCAACTTTTTTTTTTAATAAAGGCAAAATATCCAAGCACCATACAATTGAACTCTATGCACATTTACAGAGAAAATAATGGTACAATGTAAAGGCTATCATCTTTACCATAAGCACTTTGTAAGTCAAAAGGCTTATAAATTTGAAGAGAGTCTGCTTTCATCACATCCGTTTCATCACTTTCGAACACATTGTAGGCATGAAAGTGCTCATTAAAATGGTCAACCATAAGCTTGTTCACTATGAAGTAGATCACACTGTTGACTAAAAGCATTTTTTTAATTCTGCAAAAAACAGGCATTTCCTGTTCTGTGCTACTGCAAATGACTAACCCGGCTCTGTACTCTACCCCACTGATCTTTACCCAGTTAGTAGAGAAGATGTCTTTTGCTTCAGCGGGCAGAGCTTGGGCAAACATTTCACCATTTTCCTCATTGTCCACATTAAATGTTTTCAAAGGTCCGTACTCAACATGGTTCAAAGGAGATGTTTCCCAATTAGATGCTATGGACATTTGATGTTTTTTGGCAAGTGATACTGTGATGTTCTTGAAGTTTTTGAGTGTGCTTTTGAAAACCCTGTGTTTTGCCTCGAATCTCATACTCCACATATGTATTAATGGTCCAATTTTTCGAATACAAGACGGGTAATGTAACATAAAATGATGTTTAGGAATCAGATTCCTACTTGGATACAACTGTTTGAACAACTCATGATGTTCCATTATTAAATGCTTCAAATGCACAGTCATGCCTAGTGTAACAGATGGAGAGAATATTATGTTAATTATCTGCAGTAAGAGCAACAGCAAAGTCCAGTTCTCGTTTCCTTCCGGCACAATGTCACCAAAAATCAAAGGAATGTTTCTTACCAGACAAAGAGTCTGAATAGAGTTGAGTCCTATATTATTGCCGATACTGTCCAAGTTGACCCTTGTTGGGCGATTTTTGCGCTCCAAGTAGCCATAGTCAAAAGCGTATATTCGTGACAAAAGAACAGGTTTTGCCAAAACATTTTCAGAGAGATATTCAAACAGTAACTTAATCTCATACTGAGCCACCCCTTCAAGAATGTCATGCATTATGTCCAAAGAAAAGTTGTAGCAAACATGAAAGTACTGTAGGCTGTTAAGAGTTGAATTCTTCTTTAGACCAAACACACACAGCTTTTGTGGATCTGATTGCAACTCGCTGCAGTGCATTTCAAAAAGCTCTTTTCCACGCAAGACTATCTTTGGGTCATCCTCTTTGTAAACATTCTGAGCTTCATCTTTTTCAATCAAACACAAACGACAGAAGTGACGTCCACTGAAAGACTCAACAAAACCCATTATACCATGCATCCCCAAGTTGTCCCCAGTTATCTGACATATAGTGCCATAGACCTTTTCAGATGAGAAAGGTAAATCAATGCCATGACTCTCCAATATTTTGATGTCATCAATCAGAGGCTGTAAAATAGGATCAAAGCCATATTTTTTCACATCTTCTGCATGAAACAATGCAACCAAATGGATGTTCATCAATACAGAGTTTAACTTTGGAGGAAGATTTCTGAGGACAAAATAGAGTGCACCAACTTTGTGAACACCACGTTTTGAACCCAGTGGGTTAGCAGTCTCAAAGTCATCATAGTAAAGCTGAATTTGTAAAGAAGTGTGTGTTTTTGAGAACAATGGATGTGACTTAAAATAACTTCCATCACTAAAGTCTTCATATCTGTCTTTTGATACACAAGGCTTTGAAAGCAGTTCACAAATGTAAGAATTGCGACAGATAAATTTAATAGTTTCCAAAATTGGAATGTAAACAAAAGTGTCTTTTACTGGGACCTGATCATAAGTACCTGTATTTTTATTTAGCCTTGTATCAAATCGAACTCCTAAATTTTTTTGCACTGGCTCCACAATCCCCCATTTCTCATTGAAATACTTCATTCTTTTAGTTTCAGTATTAAAACTCACAAATGGGTTTTCAAAATTCTCAAAACCCTTTTCCAATGAAGATCTTACAGGGTTATCTTTTGGCACAGCAGACAGTATTTCATGCTTAACTTGGGAGTGCAGTCCACCAGCAAGTTCTTCCAAATCACTAATAATTGATGAAACTACACTATTTGCCATACCACTACCATGGAGTTTGGCAACAATTGTAGCACAGATATGTTTTGTGTTTTCTGTGATACTTTGGCCTGATCCATTGTTGTCAAAATACCCAGCATCAGGGCTCTGCACGACACTTGTTCCTTCAACTTCTGTACTATTTTGCAAAATGTGAAAATCAGCCTGAAATGACTCTGAGGTTTCTGCATCACCACTTTGACAACTCTTATGAACATGAACTAAATGTTTTTTTAAACCTGCAAATGTTGAAAACTGACGCCTACAATTATCTTGTGCACATATTAACTTAAACCTGGTGCTTGGATAGAAACTGTGCCCGATTCGCAAATGAGTTATTAGGCACTGGCTGGTAGCATGCACTGCTTGACAAATGAAACATTTAAACATAATCATATGTTATTCAAAAGTTTTGCCCGCAACTCACGAACTCTTGGAGACTCATCTGTTGTGGTAACATCAATGTTGTAGACCGTTGTCTGCAAAAAAGTGTAGAAATGGACCAGGGACTCATCATAAGATAAGTTAAAGACGTAGTGGGATTTAAACAGTTCATCAAAAGCACCCAATGAGCTGGTGGCTTGGCAGGGGATGAGCTGTTTGTCAACGGCGATGTAGAAGGCATCAATCTTCTTCTGGGTTCGGCCAACTGCAAGGATGTACGGTTGTTTACCCTCTCTTTCCTGCATATATTCATTGATGCTGCAGCATGACTAAAAGAAGAAAAAATATATTATAAATGTATACACCTTCAAGTAAATCTGGTACTTGCTGGTCCATGTTAATGTAATAGACTTTTTTAAACTGCCCCTGTGATTTGCGATCATTTGCTTCAACGTGAAAGCAGTCCCCCTAAATAACTGGGACATACTGGCCAGTAATAACAGTAAGATCAGCAGCAAGAGTCAGATTTCACCTCACGGTCTGACAAGATGATTGTGGGAAGCGCCCATTTAGCAAGTTTGTCTTTATCCTTTATTAATTAACCCAATTTTCAAGCAATTGCAACCCTTGAATTGATGCTAATTTGAAAGTAAAAGTAAAATGGTAACGGCAGCACAGGCATTTATAACTGCGTGGAACGAGCGTTCTCAGTTTGCTCCAACACGATCTCCTACTACTGCGTATCTATAGCATGAGTTTATGTTTGCATTTGGTGTGCTATCTATACACTGAAATTACTTTTTGCTTGCATATGATACACAATGGGTAGGGGTGTGGGTTAGGGACGTATTATATGTACGCCAGAAGTGCGGATCATATGCACAGGAAAAGTAATTTCTCTGTATAAATAGAATCCTACATAGAAACAGAAAATCGTGGTATTGATACGCACTTTCAAGAGATCAGGCTTTTCATTCATTCATTCAAAGTTGAGCTTCAGCGAGAGACATGAGGACCGTTATGAACGCCTGTGCGGCCGTGTCCATTTTACTTTCACTTTAAAATGAGTGATTTAAAAACGAGGAGCAAAAGAGGGAAAAACTCCACTACACCCCCCACCTCCTGGTGATACCGGTATTAGTGTTGTCACACGTCGATTAACGGTAACCATTGGTAAAATTTCCTCACAGTCACATCCCTAGAAGGAATGCACTTAAAAGCAAAATATGGACAGGAAAAGCTGGCAAGTGCATAGAACTAAAAAAAAAAAATGTCTTCTCATGGAATATTAACAAATGAGACATATAAATGTACCTTGTGAAAGTGCACCATTTTGTCCACTGCATCACTTGGACTTATTTTGGTCCTCTTCCGTCCAGCTGAGGGTGGCAAGAGATAGAGAAGCAGCAGCATAGAAGCGATGTCACTGTCCCAGTCTATCAGGAGGAAAAACAAGGCATTAAAGTCTAATAGGAAAAGATAAAACTAGCTAACTAATTTGTATTATGAACCATGCATGCTGTGTAGCTTACTCATTTCATCGTTCTCTGTGAGTTTCTCAGCAGCTTTTAGAAGTCGGCACAGCTCATTTGTCTGAGTCAGTTGTTTGGCCTCTTTGATGACCTTGGGCTTGAATGAGGTGTCCCACTTCTCAAGCATCTTGGAGGCCATTTCAGCACCAAACAGCAGCAGGAAGTCTTGATTCACCTATTAATAATACACACAAGCATATGAGGCTAGAGCTCAGTGCATTGGTGCGCTCAGTGATTTTTTTTATATATATCAGTGTGTGGTATATTAAACAAGTTTAAATCAAAATAAAGATTTTGTAAAAAAAAAGAATACAGTAAATAAATAAGCCAGGAAGATAAATGATTGTGTATTTTCATGGCTAACATCCCACAAAACACTGGTTATTGAATACTTAAGTTTAAATAAAAGAAATATACAACTCACCAGTCCTTTGACATCCAAAAAGCGTGGAAATGTTTTGAAGACATCTGTGCTTCTTTGTGGGTCATGCACTAGGTCCTGACGATGTTGAAATGTCATCTTCATCTTCTGAAATACACTTGCTTCATCAGGAGAGTGAACAAGAAATGAAATGGCCTCCCTGCAGGCATCTCCATCTAGTTGCTCAGGCAGTGTGCTTGCTGATCTTCGGCGCTTTGGTCCTTGTGGTTGATACACTGAGGCTTCCTTGACTGGCCGTTTTCCTGCAGTCCTGGAAATGGTTTTGAGGCGCCATGCTAAATATCCAGTGCCCTTTTCCCCATCATAGAAATGCTCCTGTTACATTTAAATGAATAAACACAAATAAATCACAAAATGATCGTACAGAAAGTGCAGATGCAGCATTGTGAAACAAAAGAACAATTACTTATTTAATAGATTTTCTTTTTTCAAATTAATTTGCAATATCCTTATAACCCAAGTAATTTCAAATCAGGGCACTATTATCGATATTGTTGTTGAATTATCAAATCTTTTCACTTTTATAAGCAACTGTAATTACTTTATAATGAAAACTACAACACCAAAGCCCTTTTCTGTAAATTGGGTGCTGTGTTTTCTTAAGGTTTTAAACTTACATAGCCATTTGGAGAAAAAGGATCCTTCAGTGAGGGAAAGAGAGTAATAATTCCCAGGGCATACTTCTCCTTCTGCTGACGGGAAGGAAACCTGCTATAGAGTGAAGAAAGTCAATCTTTAATAATTCCTCTTTATATAGTACAATAAACATTAGTTATATCATTACAAGATTACATCCTTTTTTTTTTAATTCCTTTGTAATAAAAACCTTTTTAAATCTTACCCATGTCTCTCAGTCATATCACTCGCCAATAGGTTGACAAGCTGTCTCCGAGTGCGGTGCATTAGTGAATTTTCTGACTTGTACTCTTCAAGAATATCCTCTCCTCCAGGCTTCTTAAGCAAGGCCTTTTCTACCATCTACTCACATAACAGGAAAATGAAATGTAAGTTTTAGTGTTCAATTCTTTCTATTAAATAAAATCAGAAAAAAACATAGCACAACATGTCTGTATGGTAAAAATCTAGGAAGGGGCAAAGTAATAACATTTTCTTTGATAAAGAGAGTTTGGAACCAAATGCTTCAATTGTTGATAATCTTAATTTAGCATGACACCTTAATTTGATTTACCATCAATTATAAGAAGTTTTCAGCTCTCAATTACCTCCTTTGCCGCCTCTGACACAGAAGCCTTTGTTGCAGAACTGCTCATGTGTTCTTTGCTGAATACATTTCTGCTTGTTGTGGGAATACTCAGTTCTCTACGGTCACTGTCACTTGAAGAAAGGGATGTGGTATCCGTGAGGGAAGATGGTGTTGAAGATGGTGGTAAAGGAGAAAATTCTTTAAAAAGAGAGAATTTGATTAACTTAACTTTTTTTTGCCTTACCCATTTTAGTATAAACATTTTAAGTTACCCTAAAGTATTTGGATGATATTTTTAGTAATCAGTAACAAACTTGTTCCATCATTGCCCACTGCCTTGTTCGTTCCATAAAGAAAGGTCAATGTCAGCTGCATCAAAGAGCCCCATCCATAAACACAGGTTTTCTTAATGACACCTACCTTCATCTGAAATGCTGTACTGACGTACTGTCAGGCACATGTCTGGATTGGCCTCCAACAGCTCTAGAAGAATGTCTTCCTCTACTGCTGTGTCAGTTTCATCAAAAATGTAAAGTTGAGCCTCATCAGGAAGCCCAAACTTATTTTTGACTATAAAAGAAAGAATGTAACAAGATAAAGTCACCTGGAGCAAGTTTTAAATCATCCTACTTAACTCTATTTCCTTGACTTGTAAATGTTAAAGAATCTGCAGCAAAAGTCTACTGCCATGTACTAACTAATGTTGATGATTACACTATGAACTGTCATTAAAAGTAAAGCCCTGCAATTAAAATGACAACATTTTAATAAACTGTTAAATACAGCCAAAAGTATTTAAATAGGTCAGCCACAGATAATCATGTACTGTGATTTGTTGCAAAAGTGGCTACATATTTTGTTTGGCCTTTAAAGGATGGCTATTTACCTTCCCTGGTGAATTCTGAATAGGTGAAGCCTGAGTGCAATTTGATGTACTTCTTGACACTACGGTATTTCACCTTCAGCAACATGGTAACATCCTGAAACTGCACCTAGTGGAGAAAAAGTGAGAAGTGGTTCAATCTGAACTGCAAGGATATATGTTAGCTTATGTTTAAGTGGCAAACAAGCAGTGAAAATTGCTAATATGCAGTGAAACAAATTCAAAAAATATTCTGGTTTGAAACATGATGCCCTGGCAACTTTTTTGAACTTCATTCAGAAACCAAGCATTATTAAAAGTTGTTTGCTTGTCATTTTGCGAACAGACCTGATTTAATTTTTCATCTGGATCATGATGTTGCGGCTTCGGCATACGTTTTTACCCATTTAAGAAAGTAAATCACGGCAGAATTAGTTTATTTTGGGTTCATGATTACCACTTGCATGCATCCACTATAGCCCAAAACTCTATTTAGAGAACAAACATTTTAAAAGTTGTTTGCTTGTTGTCTTGCGGATGGACCTGATATAGGCTACCGTAGTATGAATTCATACGTTTTACAAATCTTCATCACGATGTTTGTATTTCGGCTTAGTTTGATCAGTTTATTGCAATTTAAAAAAAAAAAAAAAAAAAAAAAAAAAGTTAAATCTGAACCTCAAATAACCGTGGCGCTGGAAGCAGCACAAATGTTGGCGCCGACGAAAAATTTGAATTTTCCCTGCACGCAGACATGCAACGCATTTTGAACCTGACGACGACGCCACATAAAATGACTTTGATTAAACGTTACTATAAGCACACTGACCAGTGGTTTTCTTAAATGTAACGTTACAAACACTGTTAAGCACATGTTGTTAACGTTATATTAAAACGCGCTGGCGTAATTTTACAGTTTTTCAGTTGCTGAACTAGCCTAATTTGACTGTCGATTTGCAAACATTAAGACTAACATTCTATAAATTGATAAATGTGGTTCTTCTCACCCTTCTAACCGAATATTCCTAACAGAAATGTCCTCTCACATATGTTCTCTCACACAATGTTCTCTCTCAACCATCAACTAGCTGCTAACGTTAATTAAAAAAAATACCGACGACGACCCCCAACGTTAACTTAATCCACGTTTGCAAATCGACTGCATCACACTTAACGTTAAACATGGTTTAAATACCGACTAGTGCTAACGTTAACAGCCTTTATAAGTTGATAAATGTGGTTCTTACCTTTTAAGCCGAATATCCCAATCGGTAAGTGAAGAGACGAGTGATTCTCCCGCTCGTCAATGAGCGCGAAAAAACCGGATGTGGAAAGTAACTCAAAATTAGTGTATACTCCTGACTCCTTGAAATGACGCCCCCCACAGAGCTTTTTTAGCACTGCAAGTGTTAAAATAACACACAAATCAACACCCATTCACTCGGAATAATTTACACTGGGAATTTAACTCAAATTAACACTACAGATTTTGCTGTGTAATTTACTTCATATGTACACAGAAATTGTTAGCCCTGCCTGCAATTAGTCATTAATAGTGCTGCATAATATTAGAGATTTTTAATTCATTTAAAAAAAAATTTGATTACCTTTGCTGTCATCTAACAATCACTTAAAACTCATCTTTAAAAACAATAATAATGTAATAACATTGTAGGCTATCCATTTTATATATTGTACATTATAATTATAATGATATTTTTTTTTTGCATTTTATTTTTAATTTATTTAGATAAAATAGTATAGAATTTTAACAGAATTTTAGCCATAATTGTCTGCATTTTCAGTATCTGTCACATGTAGATGAACATGCACGAATCAGAATGAATTCCAAAAGTCTTATTAATAATCAAAAAGAATACGCAGGAGACAAATCAACAGGGCGACTACACAATAATATAAACAATAGAGAACACCGAACTGAGAAAACCAAGGGTTAATAAACGCAGGGTGTAATCAACGTAACAGTGAACAGGCGTGGAACTCAAATCAGCAAGCAACCAAGGTAACTTATAATGACAGGGAACACTGACAATCAGGAATAGAAAGAAAACGAAACCAAAACAGAACAAAATAGATATGTAAGATTTTAATTAATAATTTGAAATATAATTAAATTAAATTATAATCAAATAAAAAAATAAATACACAAATAAAAATATACACAAAATTTTATATACACAACAATATAAAAGTAATTCATAGATTGGGTTCATTGAATATTGTAAACACTTAACTAATATTCAGTCATAGTGGCCGATCAATGACAATTAAATGACCCATTGATAAATGCTTACATTACGAGCTGAAATTACACACTGCAGCTTTAAAACAAAAGCTGGGTTATATCTCAGCTGTAATATTCTTCTCCTAAAGACTCCATAGTGATTTGACCTCCTGGAGAGTTAATTCTCCATCCATGGCCTGTACGAGCCAAACAAGTCCAAAAAAAGATCTCCCTGACTCTAGTGCAGGTCTCTTGTGGATTGGCTCCAGTCATGTAAATCAGTCCTACCACCTCCCTGAACTGCTCTCATCTCTGAAAATGTCCACAGACATCCATCTCTGCCATCTAATGCTTTATAGGGACAGAGCTGGATGTCTCATTGGGGTGGGGAGTGCGACTGCAGATACAGATATCACTTTGTTTTTGTGCTTTCTAAAAGCAGACAGAGAAGAAAAAGAGGAATAAAGAGAAAGACAGGTATAGAGAGGCAGGCTTGCTTGAGTCAGTGCTACAGACAGAACGTGAACAATAGCAACTGATTCTCTTTGGAGTTTGTTCCTCAAGCTCGGTGACACTGACTTCAAATGATCCAGACAAAGAAGAAGTACAATATTTGTATAGAAACTACAAAGATTACAAGTAAGGACATTTATAACAAATACAGACATCTGCAGAACATATCGATCTACAGAAGGCTTCTCAAAATCAAGACAAAAAGCATTCATTGGCATAAATGTTTGAGCAGACAGAGCCATTCTAGTGAATGAAATCCCTCTGGCTCGCTCACAGAGAAGCACCTGGATCTACATAGATTAACATAAATGTTTAATTGGAGCGGAACAACACATTCAGTGTTGCTTTTTCTAACCGCTGCTGCATGGATTATGAACAATGGCATGTGTGCCCTGGTTTAAAACCGCTCACACAAACACTTTTGAGCAAAACTCGTATTTTTAGCAGGGGGCTAAAAATACAAGCACCAAACCTGTAAATCCGTGTGGAGCGTTTCATCTGCAGCCTCTGAATGGGGCACTTGACCAAATGTGGTCAGCCACATAACAACACCTCAGTGTGCTAAAACAACAGCACGGACAGCTACCAGAGCTACCGAGCAGATCTCTTACATAACAGGCAGAATGTGGGGAGTTTAGAGCCATTGAGTAAGAGAGGCAGAATAAGAGAGAGACTCAGTGCTGTGTGGATGTACAGCGGATGAGTCACATTATTCTATCTTGAGAAAGAGTAAGAGGGTTCAAAATGTATTTTCTAAAATAACAGGTTTTTCAGATGTCCCACAGATTTATCATTTCATCAAACTTCAAACTAGTTAACCATACCAGAGACGTTATACAGGGAGGAGACTTTAAATTAGAGAAATGGTAGCACTGAAAATGGCAGATGTAGTCCCGATTTAGAGCTTAAAAGAGCGAAACAGCTCAATATAGCGACTATAGGAATGGAATTCCCACCTTACAGCTAAAAGAGCCAATCAACTGTTTGTTTACTCTAGAACATGCATGAACATTAGATGAATCAGCCTGAAAATACATTTATTTTTTGAGTGATGTACCGGTAAGCCAGTTTATATCGGCCCAAAGGCGGTTTCCGATAACGGGTGAAGGTCTTTCCGCGTGGCAAAGTAATTTAATTTTCATTTAAGCTTTTATCTGACTCCATTTTAACGCGACTTCGAATTTAGGTTAGATTGCCAATTGGTTATTGGCATGGGCGTCAGTTTGGTTTGAAATGTGCTGGGGACTGAGACACATTCGGAAGGGCATTTTCAAAAGTGCTGGGTACAATGACACATTCATTCTTTTTTCTCTTTCGCGCAGGTCATGTTTTGAAAGACGATGTCCTGTAGCTTACTGATGCAAATAAATAAAAATGTATACAAAGATGTGATGATGTCCGACCAAAAATGTGATGGTACTTTGGGTTTAATTGGTCGTACAATGAGATCTAATATCTAAGTACTGTTATGGTCCAGTGGCAGAATTTTTGCCAAGTGTGTCGGAGGTTCTGGGTTCTAATCCGCACTCGTATAGTTTTTTTCCCTTGGTGATATGGTTGTATATCACTGATAAACATTATCGGTTTTGATGAGGGAAAAAAAAATATACGAGTGCGGATTAGAACCCAGAGAAGCAGGGACACGTTTGTGTGCATTTTGATTTGTGATTTCACCGGAACGAATAGAATCTCCGCAACGGATTGAAGCGCGCGTCCGAGTGAAGACAACACATTTCAGCGCTAGATCGCCTCTTATTTAACAAATGAATGAAACGAATGCTGCTAGTTAACTGGAGATGTTTTATTTGTATTGGTACATCCGTGCCGCGAGATGTTTCAAAAGTGGTGGGGACAATATCGACCCTGGCAAAAAGTGGTGGGGACATGTCCCACCCGTCCCCCCCGTAAATGACGCCTATGGTTATTGGTCAATTATATAATAGTTTAGCAATACATTTGATTGTTCTAGTTAACTCTTTAACTATATGTTACCCGTTCAGATTAGGAAACTATGTCGCTCAGAGATCCTCACGTCTTCTGTTTAACGCGGGTCTCACGTTCACAAGCTCATCAGTTTTGGTCACCAAACAGAGGTAATTGCTATATACCTGAGATCGGTCACATTCACGTTTACACAATCAAAGATACTTTGGAATAGCCCCCATGGAATTGCATACACTTGAATTAGCGCCAAATATTAGTCGTCACTAATCTGACGCAAAACTTGCGGTAACTTACGAATCTGTTTAATCTACTTGGGAAAACAATTTCAGAGTCAGTCAGAATAAATCAGATGTAACAATTTATTATGTCAGGTAAATGTATCATGCCAATTTCATATAATAAATACAAAACATCAAATGCTCTGGAATAAAGAGAGAAGATGCGAACCTGACATTATAAAATACATGATGCGGAGTGCCTGCATACACTCTGCATCACGGGCTAATTTGAGTTACAA